ATTTGTACTGTTATTTGGACGGTATTCGCTGCAGTTGGATAATAATAGTTAATAAATGAATATTGGTTGGACTAACACTAGCTAGGCTATGCTTACTTTGGTAGACATACTAAACTAGATTAACCACACTAGACTAAATTTCCTTGCTTGACTATTCTAGAATAACTACCCTTGATCATCCTAGACCAATTATCCCAGACTAATTATCCTGAGTTGTGGGAGGCATGGTGGTCTCATGGTTAGTGCGCTCGTCCCCTGATCAAGCGGTCCAGGTTACAACCCTGGCCAGGACATTGTGTTGTGTTCTTGGAAAGACTTTACTCTCACAGTGCTTCTCTCCACCCAGTTGTATAAATGGGTATCTGCAAACTTAATACTGGGGGGTAACACTGCCATGAGCTAGCATCCCATCCAGGGGGGAGTAGAAATACTCCTAGTCAATTAATACTACAGAAACTGGGTTAAGCTCTGGCTGGATGGGCCACTTGGCTAGTAAGCAGACTTAACTTATTTATTCTGAGTAACATTCTTTGACTATCCTGCACTCAACTATCCTAGACTAACTGTCTTCACCTTGTTTGGTCCCCACTGGGGTGGCTCTCCAAGCACCTCCTTCCAAGTTTGTGACAGCTGTCCCTCACTCAGCTGTGAAGTGTTTTGACTCTTGCTCTTAAATGAGCTGCTTCCAAGCATCATTTGTCCATGCTTTCTCTTTGTGGCCACAGGAACACCAGTAAATGATGATCCTCTGCTGGCAATATCCTCTATGTCCAGTGATTGGCTATTGGGAGGACTGTGGTTTTCTTGATCGCTGTTGTTATCCTGTGGCTGTTTAGGTAACAAGTGCAAGAAAATAAATATCTTTGCCTAGTTTTGAAAACAGTGTATGAGAGTTCTATGCAAATGCAACATTTGATACTATGGACTTTCTTTTCTCTTTTTCTATGCAAAACCAAAGAACTGGAAGTTGATAAAGGTGGTGAGTTAATGAGGTTGATGAATCGAGCATTAGCCCTTCATCACAGGAAAGTGTAGATGTTAATCTTCATGTCAGATTCACTAATTCAGTAGTTCATTTACCTTTAGCAACTTCAAGTTGATACATACATGTAGCTATGTGTTTCACTTGCCTGGCAAAGAAGCCCACCAGTTTATTTAGAAACAAATACTGGATTACTGTGGATTACTGTGGTCAAACCTCATTAAAACATCGATTTTTATCAATTAGAGCATCAACTTCTCAATTCACCAAACANGGTTACGGGCGGCACAGGCGTCAATGGGTTAATACTAACTGAAAAACAATTCTGATTTGCGAGGAGCAACCTAATTATAGTTATGTAACATGTCATTTAGTGGTTATAGCTGTATGCAGTGCAAGAGGTTGACATTTGGAACAGTTTTAAGGTTAAAACAAAAACATTCCTTAGCTGTCACAGTAAGTCAAAGAAGGCTCAAACAGACGTTGTAAGGTTCTAGCACTGTGCTATGATGCCACAAAGAGCTAGTGAGTAGCAGAAGCTATTTAAACCATTTAACTATGAAAAGATGAATATGTAAGAAGAAACAGACTTTTCTATATGTTGTGGTGCAATTTTGGCAATTGGTGTCATTTTCTTTCCACCGGTTCAAACTCTTTGCAATGGTGCGTATTTCAGTTTCTTAAGTTACCACAAAACGGCAAAGAACTCAGTGTTCTCTTTGTATTTTACCATGTAACTTCATAATAAGCTTTTTACATACCCCTTGCAATGCTGCTGGAATGGTAATAATCTTCTGGATGCAACTGTTCAACCTCTCAATGTAATATTGCCAGTCCAAGATATCTCTGATATCAAAGCTGCTCATTGACGCATCTTTCAGCCACCGTCGTAGGTAGTGTTTCTTGACACTGTCCTCTGTTTGGAATATTGCTAAGGGAATGGCTCTTTCAGTGACTGGCGATCCCTCTGGTTTCCTTGAAATAATGAAGCGGCAACTGAGGCCTTTGTCCTTGACCATCTGGTCTCCAAGAAATTCTGACAGCCTTTTTGCCGTACTAATTGATGTTGATTTTTGTCCTTCATAATCCTCAAGCTTCCTAGACATGCTGCGGTTCTCGCAGATTAAGTCAAAGAGTTCACTGTCTGGCATGTTTGCTGCCTGAAAGATGACAATTTGTGAGAGAAGTGTGCTGATGATTCCTGCAACTGAAAAGTGGGCAGTGTCCCACATTGGCCAAAAAGATGGGCAGAAATGATTTTTACATTGCTTGCTTTAATTGAGCACCTTTATTTCCAAGAATTCACCGTAGCAATGGCGTGGCAGCCTGGACGAAAAAGGAAAGTGGAATGACCAAAGACCACATGGAGAGGGACAGTGGAAAAGGAATGCAGACAAGAGGGGTGGGCCAGCTAAGTCAAAGCCAAGGGCACATCACAAGACAGGGCTGATTGAAGAGCAAGAGTTGCAGCTTTATGCATCTCATGGCAGGGCAACACTAACTAACTGACTAATTCCAAGTGTGCCAAAATTCAAAATTAGAAAACAGTTATAATAACTCCCTCCAAAAAAGTGGATAATGGAAGCAAAAGGGCAAGAGACTGCCTTGAAGTGTAAACCATGGTAAAAAAAAAGCTTTGCAGGATTGCTAAGGATCTTTGATGATATATGATTTTTGAAACATATTTACTGGGGAAAGCCATTTGAAACATCATCAGTTCTATTGCCATCAGCGCGACATAAGGACCTCAACTACAAATACTACCGACAATAATTATCTAACCTTGCTGTAAAGAACATCAAGCCAGTAGTTTGCAACTCTAGCTACTGCTGCATACACTTCATCTAGTGTGGTGCCCTGAAGGAAAGATTCAAACACAGATGACTGGAAAATCTTGACCAGCTGCAGCTCACCACGACGCTTCACTTCAAATCCTTTCAATTCCGCAAGAGAGCCATCATCATTAAACACAGCATACCTAAAAAAAAGATTAGGACAATTACATGTATCACCATCATCATCTTCAAGTTGTAATAATTGTGTAGATCTGGATAAATAATTTTAAGATGAAAAAGGTGTTGATCAGTCAGTCACACAAGGTACTTGGAAAAGAATTCCCACCCTCTCCATATGGAAGCTCAACCTGTGAGCAGCTGCCCACACACTGTAATGCATGAATGACGGGAGACTAATGGAAGCTAAGCCATATCACAAAGTTTTCATGATTGTGAGCTTTAACCTGTCTTCGCAAGGTCATATGTTCAATTCCTGTGGGGAGCATTCCATTTGTTTTACAACTAGCTTAATAATATGGGTTATTGACCAAGTGTGAAATCCAGATGGCTGGATATTGGTCAAGTTCTTTTTTTGTGAGTTTATGACCGAGACATAGTTGAGGTCCATAAACTCCCAAAAAAAGAACAAGGCCAATATTCAGCCATCTTGACCGAACAAGCTTGGTCAATAAAGGATTTATCATATGGCTTTCGGGGAAATTTTCCTTGCAAGACACAGCGGGTAGTCCTAAGCTGGCAAGATAGCGCCATCTTGCCCGCTCGGGTAGCCAATCACAGCGCAGGATTTGATTCATCTTGCCCGCTCACGGAGCTAGCCATACAATAAGTCATTATCTCATATCTCCACCTAGCCTGCAGTGCAGGCGTTTTCTTGTTTCACAAATTAGTAGTATTAGGTCGCGATCAAGTAGATTTACCGCCATGTTGTCATTTCTCTAACAAACAGTGACTGCCGGCAGGCAGAGCATACTTGTGGAAGAACTTAAAACATTTTTCCCAATTAGTTTGTGTTGCTGTTCTCATAGTTATCATCATTTTTTCCATGTAGTTTGTTAGATGGTTTAAATGATACTTGCAGTGTTCTTAAGTATGTCTTAGCTTGGATCAAAATTTATAACAATAATTATTATCTGTAGCTCAACATCTAGCTCAGGAGCCTTGTAGTGGCTTTGAATGGCAACTGCGATTCAAAACTATGTAGGAAATGACCATGAGCATAAGAGTTAAATGATCTGATGGAATGTACATTTGAGCCTCTGCCAACACAGTGTGTATGCACTGTCATCAGCCCTCCTTCAGAAATTTAAGCTGCTTGCTTCTCCTGCAAGTGCATCAGGAAAAAAGTACATTTCTTCTTGAAAGCCATTTTGCAGACAGCATTAGGAGGGTACATGTATTCTTCATTGTTCAAAAAATCTTGATACTGCCAATCATTATTCTACTGGTTACTACCTTTTCTTTAGTTTCTTTCCTTCTTCTTTGGAGGCTGGAAGGATCATTGCCTTGTAGGGCCCATCAACCTGGCAATGAATCAAACTCATATCAGATTAGCCACTGAAACTATCAGAAATACTAGACAACTAGAATAAACCGGTGGACAATCCAATAATAGACATTCTGAAAATTCATGCCAATAAAACAAATTTGTGATGATCATTGATAAGAATTGAGTGTTTTCACTTGACATCACAGCAGCTATGTTCTGTTGGTGTTCCCAAGCAATGAAATTTCCTTCCTTTGAAAAATTATTTCTTTTCTCATGTTAAAATTTATAATTGTTAGGGCACACCACTGTGGCCACTGTTAAAATGCCCTACCAGCTATAGAAATCAAAAAAATATTGTAATATGTCCTAACCCTTAAAACATTCTCAATTTTAACTAAATCAGCCACTGAAGATGTTTTGAATTATTATTCACTTAAAGGAGCTCAGTCAGGGTTTGCACATTTTAAAAATGTTTAGCCTAAATTTTTCAAATTCATCGTTTGCAATCTGTGTCAATCTTCGCCATTCTTGACCATCCTTGTTCCTTTATGGTTTATTATTATATCTTTGATGTTTTTCTATATTAGTAAACTATTATTTTCATGTTTCCTTCCATTTAAAGGAGATTTTGTACGTGGCCAAGCAAAAAAGGTCAAAACACACCGTGACTGAGTTCCTTTAACAATACATGCATGAGGGCAATTCACCTCAAAAAAGATGGAGTTCTCATGTCTAATTTCATAAGTCAGATTATCAGCATCTGTCAGTTCATGATACTGATCATTGGTGTAATGGTTCTGAAATCAAAGAACAAGGTCACAACAAATTTTGCTTCACTAGATTTCATTAATGAAGTGGACGACATTTTCAAGACAACCTGGTAAGAGATCTGAGCTCTCAAACAGCTATGATGAGGGCTTGAGATAAGGGTGCTACACTGCAATGCTGGGATTTTCACTTTTCATGGGAATAAATACTAACTACAGGTGACCCCCCAACCCCCCTTCAGAATATTTGTTGACCAGTCTTCCATAACAATTTACTGGAAACATTACTTTCCAAGATGTAAAGGTACTATATATGCGAGTTTAGTCTCCAGCCAAGAGGAAAATATACAGATGATACGTGACAGGAATGAAACTTGCAACATCTTCAGTTCACGCCAAAAGTCCTTGATCGAAAAAAGTGTTGATCGATACCCTTGATCAATACTTTATCCAAACACAACTGACACCTCAGTTGACATTTGATCAACACTTCAGTAGACATCTTACCCAACAGTCAGTCGAGAGTCAACTAATTTTTGCAGACACACCATTGAGTGTCAATTGATACATATGATTTGGTCAACACTCAGCTGACTATCAACTGACTGTCGATCGAGTATCAATGTGGTGTTGATTGACATGTTTACCAAGTGTTGACCTGAGTGTCAATCGAGATGTCTAGCAAGTGTTGATTGAGATGTCGATCGCATGTTGATCAAGGGTCGATTGAGGGTATCAATTGACACTTGACTGCAGATGCCTTTAGTAGACATGATCTGAACACTGGACAGTTATATGGCTGACTAACTGCAGTGACAAATTATCTGAACTGTGAAAGCCATTATTCGTATTGCAAATCCGCACTCACCAGCTTAGGATGGATGGATCAATATCCACTGTGTTGGGGGTGGGGAGGGGTGAAGACTAAAACCTAAAATTGATAAGTACCTTGACCATGATGTTCAACATGGCTCCAGGATAAGATATTGCCACTTTACTCTTCTTAGGATTATTTGTACTGATCTACAAACAAAACTTTTGTTAGTGCATATTTTGAAATGCAAATTATGCCAATATTCATGTAGATGCTATAGATCAAAAAAACGAAAGTAACTTGAATTAAGATGCTGAGCAGAAATGATGATAAAAAGGTATTGCAGACAGATAGACAGACAGACAGACAGACAGACAGACAGACAGACAGAGAAACCTTCTTCAAAGGAATTAGCATTGTCTCTAATAAAGACAGCACAGCCTCAGACATCACACAAATGAAACTTCATCCTCACTTTCTTGCAAACCAAAGGTGCAATACGTTTTCAATGGTAAGTAAAGAGTAAGCATGATATCATTACCTGGAAGTTTTCAGGGAAACTTGCAGGAAGAACACACCAAATTCCATCTGTGTCCAATTCCAGAGGGCGTCTAAAAAACCAAGAAGTCCATCAGGATTGAATCAATACATACTGTAAACTTGTTCATGTGAACAGCTGCTCACATACATGTCTAGATTTATGAAAATGCGAAAATGGTGCAAGACTTTTCTGCCTGATGCCTGACAATTGGTGGCCAGGTCTAGGGAGAACTTTTGCGGCTAAAAGCTGGTCATTTTATTTAGAGAAAAGCCTAAGAAGGTTCAATGCATACAGTTAAGGAGCCGCACTTAGCCAGCCACACACAACCAAAGTGGGTTTTCAAGCTCTTCATTGACAGGTTGGCTGGCATTGATTGATTGAAAAAGCCTGTGTATTTCCTGGAAAATTTGTCGCCTCATTGTTTTGAGATTGACACAGTTTTCAATATATTGCTTCTAGCTTTGTGTTATTAAATGATAACTTGCCCTTCCAAAAAGTCAGTGAAACAAAATTAGGAAATACATGGCAGCTGGTCATCTACCAACAAAGTTTTGACAAATCAACTCACCCAATCTGCTCCACAATTTCCCTGGCTTGTCTGATAATGTTTGCTCCAGTGTGGCAAACAATACCAGCCATCTCCATGGAATACCACCTTGCACTGTAGACAGAACACAGGTAATCAGTCCCATGCACAACAATCATTCATGAAAATAGAAGGGCTGAAATTCTAATAACTCTTCCAGTCATGTAAACTTACTATTATTAATAAGCAGAGCCATAACACATAACACTCATTATGACTGAGTATGCTTGATGGACCTTTGATACTACCAGTGAACTTGCCTGTTCAAGTTGATACAATTCAGCCACATTGTAACAAGTTAATGTTACGAGTGTGAGGATCAAGGCAACAGGTGACTCAAAACTTTATGACAGCCCTGTCAAGTGCCTGCGGACAAGTTGTGGATGTGCTCATCTTTAGGTGACACGATAACACAGAGTAGTGTTTAGTTTTGTGCTGTAATTTTTTTCTTTCCTTTTTTGTTTTTTGTTTTCCTTTTTGGTCAATTAATAATAAAAAAACTAACACCTAATACAATCTTATTTGCTCTTACCCCTTTCTCATAACATATCCATAGAATGAGTTCAAGATACACTTGTGAGCCAGTTGAAGGGAATCGTACAAAATCTCTTTGCTTTTACAACTGAAAAAGAGAGCAACAAGAGTTACATGAAAATACACAGACTCAATGCTAATGTACAGTACACCAGGTAAGTGGACAGACTATGGATAACCTAAAGGTTCTAACTGTGTACCGCAAGAGTTTGCATGGTTCTGGCATTTGATTTCAAAAAAATGTGACCAACTTTCAAATCCATACCAACTTTCACAGTACACTGAAAGCATGCTTTGGTTGCCTGTGAGCAAACCAATGTTGTCAAATGTATTTATGAACAACACTGGGAAGAAATGGTAAAAATTTTGTACTGAATGTTATATTAACATAATAATTTGTGAATTGCTTTGATTACCTTTTTATTTCTTCAGCACCACCACTCTGCATGGCTGCTCCAAGTTTACGTTTCCAAACCTTCAAATAAAATACATGGCAGTCTTGACAACTTCATTAAAGTTAACAACAATATCTAAACTGGTCCAAATATTCTTACATTTCAGGGTGTCCAGTCAAAACAAATCAACAGGTAATATCACAGTTGCAGACTCAAAGGAGAAGGGTACCTTAAGCAATCCTTTGAATTCATAACGGCGATCACGGAAAGCTCGCACAGTGTCAACATAAAATGAATTCTCCCGCTGACAAATCATGGTGCTACGAGTTTCTTCTTTGCTCACACGGACTTTCTTGTAAGCCTTGCGGCAGTAATCTGTTAATAAACAAAGAACATGTTGGGACAACGAAGGCCAAGATGGTCGTCCTCAAAATAACACTGCTTTATGTAATTGAATAAAGTATTATAATTATTTATAATGGCTCTTTTTAATCTGCTGATAAATTGATGCATCTCTATGATCCATTCTTGGAAAATGCACAGGTAAAAGGTAAGCATTAATAAATATTATTTCATTTCTTGAAAATAGAAATAGTCCTCCAAACATGAAGGTAAAAATATTTCTACTTGACAAAACAAAACTGTTAATTTATTTTGTTTTATTTTGGGCATATATGACACCTATTTTTCTCGCAGAACACAATGGGCGATCTTGAATGACCAAGACACCCCACCCAGCAATCTCTGGTATCCAATCACAGGACAGGATTTGGGTCATCTCCCCTCTCGCAGAGTTGACCATATAATAAATGTGCATAGCAATCATAATCAGGGGTTTCATTAAGAGCCGCACATAGGGCAAATTGACCTGCTGAGAGGACAATTTTGCCCAGCTGGTTTGACCATCTAGCGGAAAGTTTTTCTGACAAAGAAGTTCATTTCTAATACTTTTGCCCTCCTGTTGAAAACATTAATGAAACCCCAAAATCATTATCAAACTCCTTCAATTCTCAGTATTGGAACAAAGATAAACTTAAAGTTTACTACACTATTGTAAGACACACCTTGTAATCTCTTTTTCTCCATTTGAGCTTGATCAGCAAGAGAAAGAGAGTGAAATGATCGAGGAGGATCCCCAGGATTATCACCAGGAATTTTTTCTACTTCTAGTTGTTGTTTGATGGTTTGGTATTCATTACGGCTTGCTGGCACTGGAGAAGAAATAAATACAAGGAAGGTGAGAATTGAGTAAGACAAGGGAAAACTTGACTTAAAAACTTTAAAAAGGTATAATCAAGAATACTATTGGTAGGAAGATACAGTAGGTAAAACAAAAATGAAGGAAGACATTAAAGTAAAAGGGAGCAAGGATACAAGACAGAAATTCAGAGAAGTGAGATGAAAAAGGAAGTAAGAGTGATACTGATAAAATTAATTAGCACACAAAAAAGAGAACAAATGGATGGACAAACATAAACAACCAGAGTGATCAAATAAAAATGCAGAAATGGTCAATGCATCAAAGAAATGCATCAATCAAAAGAATCTCTGAATCAATAAATTAAAGTGACACAACAACACAAAAAACGGTGGGTGGCAGGATGTTAAAAACTAGGAAAAATGTGCAAGGAAATTACAACTATTACAACTGAATGAATGGAAAGAAAAAACAGTAATCAAACAGGAATGGAGAGGCAACAGATGGACTGTAAAAGAAATTAGGAGGATTATTATATTACTGAGAAAATTACTCCATCATGATTGGCTAACAGCAGTCTATTTTATAGATAATTCTTAATTTGCNGAACAAATGGATGGACAAACATAAACAACCAGAGTGATCAAATAAAAATGCACAAATGGTCACTGCATCAAAGAAGAAATGCATCAATCAAAAGAATCTCTGAATCAATAAATTAAAGTGACAGAGCAACACAACTGAATGAATGGAAAGAAAAAACAGTAATCAAACTGGAATGGAGAGGCAACAGATGGACTGTAAAAGAAATTAGGAGGATTATTATATTACTGAGAAAATTACTCCATCATGATTGGCTAACAGCAGTCTATTTTATAGATAATTCTTAATTTGCACTGCAGTGCAAATTAGCATGCAGGCATCCACAATTTTCTCAGTCATATAATAAATGAGTAATTGCATAAAAGCTCAAGCAATTAAGGATTTACACTACTTGTCACATTTGGAAATTCTTTCAAATTGCACTCACCTAAAAGCCTCATGTAATTTTGAGAGAATTCAAATATCATTCATAATGTAAATCTCTAATTGCACTTGTATTCATACCATACCTATACAAATTAAATTGGAGCAATTAATTTCTGTACATACTATAGTCTCCTCTCCATGTCCAGTTCATGACCCTCTGACATCTTGCTCCTGGCTTGTTAAAGTCACATGCAGCGCAGGTTGCCTCATCCACCATAGCAGAGGGCTAAAAAAAATTGTAACATGTCATTATATAAAATAATAAGGCAAGGCTGGCATGATTTTTAAATGCATATAGCCAATGTTTTAAGGAACCACTGGCTGTCACAGTAAGACAAATGTTGTTTAACAATGCCTTAATTTAATGTAGATATGCAAAAAACATTTTAAAAGAAAAATATACGCTGTGAACATGACGTTTCGGTGTCACCTCGTTGCCATCATCAAATGCAGATTTGAGCTGTTCTGTTCAGATGTATACTAGTTTAGGTGTTAGAGAGTCAAGAAAAATGTCAAGAACAATGTCAGCTAATTAAACACTTTTGCCTGAATAGAGTTCGCTTGTGTGTTCAAGTTTGATCTTTTTTCTTTGATTAGCAGCATCTCATAAATCAGGCATTCCAGCTTCCCTCTGCACCTCTTTAAGATTGAATTGTTCTTGCAAATTTGGTTTGTCAGAGTTGTGACTTTCTCAAAGGTGTTTTCCAACAGCCGAGTACTTATGTTCATCAATGCATTGAAACAGGTGTCGGCATGTGTATCTGTTACCTGAAGTCTGTTGGTAAGAATGATGTTTGGGTACATGGCACCAACATCAAGATGATAGATCAATGGGTTCTCAAGTCTTGCTGGTGTGTCACGTAAACTTCCCAGCTTGTCTTTAATCTCAGCACAAACCTATCAAGGCATTAATTAAATAAAAAGTTTTAGCTAAAAACAGGGTAAAGTCTGCATACAAACCAAGTGGCCCTTGAGGCCGGAGCTTATTCAAGTTTCTGTAGCATCAAGCGACTAGGAGTATTTCTACTTCCCCCTACTTGGGATCCTAGTCCATTGCAGGGTTACCCCCAGCATTAAGTTCACTGGTACCTATTTACACATTTGGGTGGAGAGAGGCACTGTGAGAGTGAAGTGTCTTGCCCAAGAACACAACCCAATGTCCCCGGCCTGGGCTCGAACCCGGACCTCTCAATCCAGAGACAAGCGCACTAACATGAGGCCACTACGCCTCTTACCAGAACTAAGAACAAGCAAGAATATAATTAATATTTGATAAGGGTAGTTTCCAGTAGTGCTTTGTCTTTTTCAGTCAAGGTCAAGTCTGGCTCACAGCTTAGGTGGCCTAGAAAGATGGCAGTTAATTTGTTCAGTGCCCTAAACATTGGCATACACCTGGGTGGGGAGAGATACTGTGGCATTAGATTTTTTCCCTTAGACATGAGAGCAACATCCAGTCTGAAACTGAGATTTGATTACAAGATATAAAATCTACCTGGCACCCTACCCTTTGGGCTTTGATAACCCCTACCCAGTCATCAAAAATACACTGATTTATTGTCCCTGTCTTAAAAAGCTTAGCCCCTAAAGGACTGTAATATTCAGTTCCAGTTTCACGCTGTTCTCAGTTCCAATCACATGATATGACCATGACTTTTCAATACAGAAGCACAATTCTGGTGAATCACAACTGTGTAATGCATGGAAATGGCCAGAGATAAGTCACACATAACACAACAAAAGAACTATAGCTGCCCTGCATGTCAGAGATGCAAGGCTGATGTTAAGTCTTGAGTCACCAGTTGCCTTGATCTTCACATCTGTAGTAACCTTGTTAGTCTGTGGGTGAAGTGCATCAACAACAGGCCAGTTCACCCTTAGCATCAAGGGTCCATCAAGCATACTCAGCAGTAACAGGTGTTACAAGTTACAGCCCTTAATGACAGCCCTGATGATGCATGGTAACTGTTTCAGGAACAAGGAGGTCAAAGGTCATAGTTACTGCTTCATAATTTGATTAATTAGTTCACAAATTCAGTGTTTAAGTTAACACGTGGCTAACCTCATCAAAATTTGTAACAGTCTCCATTGGAATATGTTCTTCCTCAACAATTGCATGTCGCATAGTATTTTCCACATTATCAATCAGTTTCTGAAAAGCATCTGGAACCTTCATAAAGAGGAAAGATGGATTTCAGTGACAGGCTGATTAAATGTACATAATTGCAGATCAGATTAAGTTGGCCACAGGTGACTAGCACAAGCTCAACTTTGTCTTGCCTGTGCAGCAGGTACAATGTAATGTTGCGGTACTTCTTCACTTATTTCGAGTGTATGATCTACAATAGATCGACAGAAAATCTCACAGGTAATTTCCAGAAAAGATGTGAATTTTTTTCTTTCTGAGAATATTCTTTCCGACATGTGTAAATTTTCTTGTGATAATTTAGTAGCTTATCACCAGAGTAAGACAAAAAAGACATGGTCGAACATTAATGTTGTAATGCAAAATCAAAGCAAAATGTAAAGTACTTCCAACACACGGAACCAATGGTCCAGCTTCTCTTACTTACAGACTCTTACCATGCTCTATACATGTACCAGACATTGGTTATGGTGCTCTATTTCACTTGTAGTTCTGAACATCACACTTACCAGTCGGAATCTACAAGGGATGTCACTTCTGAAGACACCAGACTCCAGAGCTTCCACATGACCTCCAACATATGTCTCAGAGTCCAGAACATGGCCATCATTAGTCAGCTTGTTAAACACCTACAAATGAATTATTTAAAAACCAGTCTGAGATGATAGGGCAGGGTTGCAAAAGCAAAATGTTATCCTTGGAAGAAACATTTGTTTTTGGAAAACTCACAGTTCACAATAGGAGTTTTTAAAGGGATGTTGTCCTCATGTAACACCACTTAGGGGAGCTGCCCAATTATTGGAGGTTAAAAATGTAAGGTCTTGGGCAGCTGGGACCATGACTAAGTGTCCACCAATGGGAAGTGTCTCCCTAAAGGATATGTCTGCCCATGGGAGCTTTCTGTCTATAGGAGGTGTCCATTTGGTAAACAGCCTTAGGTTTATGTTAAGTGTTACTCAGAAGACATAACCGACCTGTTCCTGTTTGTTGGGATAGATGATGTTTGCATGGAAGGCTTGTACCATTAGAAGAGCTTCACACAAAGTTCCTGATCCTTTTCTAAGAACCTATATTAAATACAATTCACACTGATCATGATGCAAGAAGACTAGACAAACTTTTATTACACAGGGTTGCCACCCACCGGAACAAAAAAAAATCCCTAACCTTTCACTGACTGTAAAGCAATTTTCACTGACCCTGCAGGATGACTATTCTGGCCATGAATCAACAAAAATAAGGATGGCTCAGATAATTTTTTTAAACAAAATTGCCTTGTCTATATAAAAACATATAATAAAATAATTTGTGGCAACCTTAAGATAAAATTCCCTGACTTTTCACTGACTTTGAACAGGGATTTAGAAACTCCCTGACCTTGAATAAAATCTAATTTTCCCTGACTTTTCCCTGACCATGGCAACTCTGTTTGACACCAACAAAGTTAGTACAGTTGACTTGAAATCAACAAGAAGTAAGTCTTTTTGCAATTTGTAGTCCCCCATCCCTTAATTTTACTTGATTTACATCACATCAACTACAACCAGCAAGTGCAGATATTTGCTTCTTTGTCAGGGCTGCAAGTACTAATTCAGGTCAAAAAAGAGAAAAGAAAGAAACTCTGACTTCAGTCAGGATGACCTCATCTTGAGGCAAGATCTCAAACTTGATCAACATATCAATGGACATCTTGATTGACACTTGGTCGACACTCAATCAACATCTTGATCGACACCTGATTGACACTCAATCACCAGTCAGTCAGTAGTCTGCTGAATGTCAACCAACTCATATGTATCGATCAACAATCAATGACATGTCTGTGAAAATGAGTTGACTCTTGACTGACTATTGACAGAGGGGTTGATTGAGTGTCAATGGAGGTGTTGATTGAGCGTCAATGGAGGTGTTGATTGAGTGTCAATCAAGTATCAATCTAGTATCGATCGAGGGTATCAATTGACACTCGATCACAGACGCCTTTAGTGCACATAATCTGACTAGTATGCAGTGAGCATTGATTTACTCAATTATTATAGTGATTTAATTTCTTAAAACTCACCTCATCTGGTTCCATTGGAATAATGGTGCACAGTGCAAAGATGAATGGGTGGACATACTTCATGTAAAGGTAGTAAGTGGCAACAGCATCAGATACTGAGTAATTAGCCAGTTCCTGGTAAGTGGAAAAAAATCAGTGGTAATTAAATGTTATCTTGATATATAAACAATNGAACATGCTCAAAGAAACGCTGTATAAGGCTTGACTGCAAAAAGAAAAAGAAATATTAAATACGGCTGTAAAATAATTAAAATTGTACACAGCACCTGAACAGAAATGAATTGACTAATTACACTGAAACCACTGAGCACATACATGTGTAACATGTCTTACAATATCTTCCAGACATCAAGAGCAATTTACCTCATCTGGTTCATTTATGACTGTAAACTGTCCTTCATACTCAGGTTTTGGTGTGTATTCAAAATCAGCGATGTCTTCAGAAACTATCTCTCTGTTAATGATCAAATAACCCTATAAAGAATAAAAGGAGCATTACAACAAGCATAAAGCAAAGCAAAGCAAAATATAGAGTTGCTGTACAGTAATGTCTTTTGAGATTGATTCACAAATTAAAATATGATCATTCACAATTTTCAGTGTTGGTATTGACACCTGTGCTCACACATATGCTTGAACTTGCATCAGTAGTGAAAACCAGGTTTTTACAGTATGACACAAAATTTTTCAAAGAACTTCTTCTTCCACCTCCCCGCCCAAATTGAAGGCCCAAGAGAGGCAACAGGAACTTACATCCACAGTGTACAAAAGTGAAAATGACCAACACCTTTCAAATCATGTGTACTAAAGGCATCCACGATCAAGTGTTTATTGAAACCTTGATCGACCCTCAATCGACCCTTGATCAACCCGCAATCAACACCCGATCAACATCTCAGTTGACAGTCAGTCAAGAGACAACTAATTTTCGCAGACACACCATTGAGTGTTAATCAATACATATGAGTCGGTCAACACTATCAACCAGAAGTCAACCAAATGTTGATCGAGTGTCAATCTAGTGTCAACTGAGTATCAGTTGAGATGCCGATTGAGTGTTGATCTAGATGTCGATCAAGTTTCTATCGCAGGTCAATTGAGGGTATCGATCCACACTCGACTGCAGATGCCCTTAGTACACATAATCCCACCCTTCAATACATCTGATATAAATCTTTTCAAAAGATCTTGATCTTATAATGATCTTTCATATATTCACCTGCATAAATTGTTTAATAACATTACACTCATATTACAGTTTCACAAGTCTGTTCAGTAAAGATGCCCCGTACCTGACCATCAATCATGTACGAAATCATCATAATGGAGTCTGTGCTTGAGTCAGGGAATTTGAGCGGCAGTTTTGTGGTCTCTATGTCAAATGCTAGTACAACAGGTTCCTGAAGAGATACATGCAAAGTAAAGGTACGGAGGTTAGTATCTAGTGCATTAGACTCTGGCTGAGAGAAATATGATCCACAATACTCTTTATCACTTCATGCTGCAGAACCAAAGTGACATGTACGTAACTATGCATTCTTCAGCCACTTATTATAATTAGCATAGGCGAGACTATAATGAACAGAACAAGATGAAAAGCTAACTAGCATTTGCTCACTGGTCTGTCCAACAGGTCATCCCTCCTGCTAATGTCAACATGAATTCCACCACGAACTTTCACGTTGTACCAGTGACCCTGTAATAATAGAAACAGTTTGTTACTTATGTATCAAAGTTACCTCTCCATTCTACTTTCAAAAACACTCTACATCTTATTTCTCCCTACATTATCAGGGCATAGTCAAGCCCACATGTAATGAGAAATAAAAAATCATCAGCTGTTAAACCAAAACATTTTCACAACTACAGAGTACAACTAAATTTGTGGCAACATTTAGCAAGAATTTGCATTTAAGGCTAGCAAACGTTCAAGGATTAAATTTAACTTGCATTCTTCCATAGTTTTTCACTTACCACAAAAATCTTGAGATCAATAGCTGCTCTAACATGGTACGGTACATCATATTCCCTAATAAAATTAATTTGCACCTTTGGTATACAACTAACTTTCAGCAAGACTTGATGCAACAAGTTTAGATTTTAAGCCCTGGTCAAACAGACTCGCGGGTAGTTACGAGTAGCCACAAGTTGAACTTGTGTAGTCAGACTTGCGTTGAGTGGCCAAATGGACTCGCAAGTTTCCCCGCAAGTTCCCGCGAGTCGCTATAAAAGCCCATTTCAAGTCAGAAATATCGTGTATTTCATCAGCTAATAATAGGTGAATGGACACCTCTCAACTTGCATTGACTTGGGTTGGGTGGCCAAATGGTGAAAAACTTGTGTCGACTTGCCTGCAAATTTGATCTCGACCAAAGTGAGTGCAAGTCATCGCAAGTCAACGCAAGTGCAGACAAGGCCTGGCCAAACAGAGTTTTTTACTTGCGACTCTGTTTGGCCAGGGCTTTAGATCAGCCAGCAAATACACCTGCCTTTCATCACTTCCTGCTACTAAGCCCAAACTGTTTGCGGCAGTGAGAGGTGGCTATGGATGTATTTGTAGCTAATTCATGACTACATGTAGAATTCTAAATCAACAGTCAACTGCATTGACACTTTAAAACAAAACATGTTTTATTTGTCAGTAAATTTTCAGTGATGATTCTACAGTTAGCATACTTTCAAAGGTTTTGGGAGCATCATATGACTTCTCCTTGACTTTGTTAATAAAACTTCAAAAGACTGCAGACAAATTGCTGCAAGGTTGATGATGAAGGGAACATGTTTTTACACCAAAACAAGATGGTGAATGGAGGACTTTTACGACTCTTAGTCATCTAACATACCATAAGGTGCCTAAACTGCCCATCGCAGCCTGAAGCCAAAGATCTTGATAACTGACCCTCCCATGGGTGAATGAGCATTGAACAAAAACAAATATTATCATGACTACTGTTACCTGATATCAATGACATTTGCCATTTGATCAGTATTTCTCCTGTTAGCTGCGATCATCTCTTCCTCATTCATGTCAGCACCCATTACAATGTTATAAGCTGCATTTGTCTTGGCCTGTTCTTTGTTCTTCCGGACTGCTGGCATGATTTCCCTGAGACAAAACAAAAAGCAAGTTCGAATGCTTTGTAAATAATACAACGTCTATCACTGAAAACTTCATGGATCATGTACACTAAAGGCATCTATGGTCGAGTATTGATCGATACCCTCAATTGACCCGTGAACAACACTCAATCGATACTCAATCAACATTGCGATCAGCTAACACTCGATCGACAGTTGATCAACAGACTCATATACAGCGGTTGAAAATTAGTCGACTCTCGACCTACCCTCAACCGAGTATCAAATGAGTGTCAACCAAGGTGTTGATCGAGTATCAATCAAGTGTCAATCAAGAATGTGATCAACACTTGACCGCAGATGCCTTAGAAAATATCTTAGCAAAGAGCTTTGCAAAGATCATTGCATTCTTAAGTATTGAGGAAGATTTTGCCAGGAACCTAAAAGGATCTTGCAAAGATCTTTTGCAAGAGCCTTTGAGGGATTTATTGGAAATTTACAAGATTCACAAAGATCCTTGAAGAATGATCTTCACCCAAGCTCTCAGCATCTGACCAACTGTCCCACCCATTTACTAATCATCATCATCAGCAGCAGCAGCAGCAGCAGCAGCATTATCAACATCACACCAAAAGTGAGAGTTCACCAGTACTTGCTTTTGACATTTCACGGTAGAGAGATCCACTGTGAGAGTCAAATATCTTGCCAAAGACCACAGCTCTAAATCCACTGTCCAATGTGCTAAATATCAGGTTGCAGTGCCTCCAAAAAGGTATAAAACATGTTCCAATTTTTTTTCCACAGTCTTACCTTTTGACTTTCATCAAGTCATTCACAGTTAGAAATGATAACTTGATGTAGTTTCTTTTCAGTCCAACCAGGTGATTGTTCTAAANACAAAAGAACTATAGCTGCCCTGCATGTCAGAGATGCAAGGCTGATGTTAAGTCTTGAGTCACCAGTTGCCTTGATCTTCACATCTGTAGTAACCTTGTTAGTCTGTGGGTGAAGTGCATCAACAACAGGCCAGTTCACCCTTAGCATCAAGGGTCCATCAAGCATACTCAGCAGTAACAGGTGTTACAAGTTACAGCCCTTAATGACAGCCCTGATGATGCATGGTAACTGTTTCAGGAACAAGGAGGTCAAAGGTCATAGTTACTGCTTCATAATTTGATTAATTAGTTCACAAATTCAGTGTTTAAGTTAACACGTGGCTAACCTCATCAAAATTTGTAACAGTCTCCATTGGAATATGTTCTTCCTCAACAATTGCATGTCGCATAGTATTTTCCACATTATCAATCAGTTTCTGAAAAGCATCTGGAACCTTCATAAAGAGGAAAGATGGATTTCAGTGACAGGCTGATTAAATGTACATAATTGCAGATCAGATTAAGTTGGCCACAGGTGACTAGCACAAGCTCAACTTTGTCTTGCCTGTGCAGCAGGTACAATGTAATGTTGCGGTACTTCTTCACTTATTTCGAGTGTATGATCTACAATAGATCGACAGAAAATCTCACAGGTAATTTCCAGAAAAGATGTGAATTTTTTTCTTTCTGAGAATATTCTTTCCGACATGTGTAAATTTTCTTGTGATAATTTAGTAGCTTATCACCAGAGTAAGACAAAAAAGACATGGTCGAACATTAATGTTGTAATGCAAAATCAAAGCAAAATGTAAAGTACTTCCAACACACGGAACCAATGGTCCAGCTTCTCTTACTTACAGACTCTTACCATGCTCTATACATGTACCAGACATTGGTTATGGTGCTCTATTTCACTTGTAGTTCTGAACATCACACTTACCAGTCGGAATCTACAAGGGATGTCACTTCTGAAGACACCAGACTCCAGAGCTTCCACATGACCTCCAACATATGTCTCAGAGTCCAGAACATGGCCATCATTAGTCAGCTTGTTAAACACCTACAAATGAATTATTTAAAAACCAGTCTGAGATGATAGGGCAGGGTTGCAAAAGCAAAATGTTATCCTTGGAAGAAACATTTGTTTTTGGAAAACTCACAGTTCACAATAGGAGTTTTTAAAGGGATGTTGTCCTCATGTAACACCACTTAGGGGAGCTGCCCAATTATTGGAGGTTAAAAATGTAAGGTCTTGGGCAGCTGGGACCATGACTAAGTGTCCACCAATGGGAAGTGTCTCCCTAAAGGATATGTCTGCCCATGGGAGCTTTCTGTCTATAGGAGGTGTCCATTTGGTAAACAGCCTTAGGTTTATGTTAAGTGTTACTCAGAAGACATAACCGACCTGTTCCTGTTTGTTGGGATAGATGATGTTTGCATGGAAGGCTTGTACCATTAGAAGAGCTTCACACAAAGTTCCTGATCCTTTTCTAAGAACCTATATTAAATACAATTCACACTGATCATGATGCAAGAAGACTAGACAAACTTTTATTACACAGGGTTGCCACCCACCGGAACAAAAAAAAATCCCTAACCTTTCACTGACTGTAAAGCAATTTTCACTGACCCTGCAGGATGACTATTCTGGCCATGAATCAACAAAAATAAGGATGGCTCAGATAATTTTTTTAAACAAAATTGCCTTGTCTATATAAAAACATATAATAAAATAATTTGTGGCAACCTTAAGATAAAATTCCCTGACTTTTCACTGACTTTGAACAGGGATTTAGAAACTCCCTGACCTTGAATAAAATCTAATTTTCCCTGACTTTTCCCTGACCATGGCAACTCTGTTTGACACCAACAAAGTTAGTACAGTTGACTTGAAATCAACAAGAAGTAAGTCTTTTTGCAATTTGTAGTCCCCCATCCCTTAATTTTACTTGATTTACATCACATCAACTACAACCAGCAAGTGCAGATATTTGCTTCTTTGTCAGGGCTGCAAGTACTAATTCAGGTCAAAAAAGAGAAAAGAAAGAAACTCTGACTTCAGTCAGGATGACCTCATCTTGAGGCAAGATCTCAAACTTGATCAACATATCAATGGACATCTTGATTGACACTTGGTCGACACTCAATCAACATCTTGATCGACACCTGATTGACACTCAATCACCAGTCAGTCAGTAGTCTGCTGAATGTCAACCAACTCATATGTATCGATCAACAATCAATGACATGTCTGTGAAAATGAGTTGACTCTTGACTGACTATTGACAGAGGGGTTGATTGAGTGTCAATGGAGGTGTTGATTGAGCGTCAATGGAGGTGTTGATTGAGTGTCAATCAAGTATCAATCTAGTATCGATCGAGGGTATCAATTGACACTCGATCACAGACGCCTTTAGTGCACATAATCTGACTAGTATGCAGTGAGCATTGATTTACTCAATTATTATAGTGATTTAATTTCTTAAAACTCACCTCATCTGGTTCCATTGGAATAATGGTGCACAGTGCAAAGATGAATGGGTGGACATACTTCATGTAAAGGTAGTAAGTGGCAACAGCATCAGATACTGAGTAATTAGCCAGTTCCTGGTAAGTGGAAAAAAATCAGTGGTAATTAAATGTTATCTTGATATATAAACAATTGTCTCCATTAACCGCAAAAATATACTCAAATATTTGTCCGTGGCCATTATTAATTCAGACAAGCAAACAAACTGTGTGAGCTTTGAGGAACAGCTACTGTCCAAGGACAAATATCCAAGCATATTTTCATGCAAAAAAGAGGCTATTGTGTTTATTATGCTTCAAATATTTTTTCAAACACACAGTTTTGAAAATTGGGGAATGTCAATCAGATATTCCCCAGTTTTAGCTGGGGCATAATCAGTCATGTGACACATATTTTAGATCAATCAGACGCAAGCGAAAATATTTGAAGGATTGTAAGCCACCATATTTTCTAAATGACAAATGGTGTAGGAAATTAGGGAGAAAGGGCTAATACCAAGAAGGTTACATAATTATAATTACATGATGGTTATGTGCTTTATCTCAGTCACTTCAATGGCGACCTGCAGCTTTTCAGACATAACCATGAAGGGCAAAGAAATTTTAAAGGAGATGTGTCACAATTTTTTAGAGTCAGTTTTCTGATGTACAAAATTACTTTCAAAGTGATGGCAACCTCAAAACAAACTTTGCTAAGGTAAAAAAATAACAACTTTGAAAATAAATGAAAACTAAACAAGAATGGTTGAGGCCGAGGCTGAGGAAGATGAAGACAGATTACAAGTGGCAAAACATGAAAAAATTGAGAAAATGTTTTGAGATGTGCCATGCACAATATAGCTCCTTTACAAGCCATATCTGTTCTTACCTGGGGTTGTTCACTAGCCATGCGACACATGTCCTCAGGATCCAGTTCAATGGGATCATACCTTAGCTTGGCCTGGCAAAGAACAGATGCAAATCAAATACCAAGTATCAGTGGTCTAAAATAACAACTGGAATACATGTAGTTAAATGTGTCATCAATAGATGATCTTGGGAGCTGGTGCCTTACAGGTTGGTGGAGCCAGGCAACAGTTCTGGCATGGGGAAGGAGGTATCTGTGGGAACCTAAAATTAGCAGTGGGAAACTTACCAATGGGAGGGTGGAATGGGAAGAAAGAGATCTGTTAAATCTGCAGGCTATAGCAAACAACCCTTCACAAAGGCAGCTGCGAGCAAGCAAGATCACAAGATCTCCCTGTTAAGCGCTCAGAGGTTACCCCTGAGCCATGCTAAAAGGAATGACCCCTGACCAGCATTATCTCAAGGTTAACTTTGTCTAATTACATTAAGTCACATTAATCATTTTAAAGATGAATTTCTTAGTTTCCTTACTTTAGTAGTAGCTTTCAGGTTTTGACTGCCAACAGGAAGGTAACTATCTCTTTTGACCCATCTACAGATAAAGGAAACAAAATTCAAATAATTAATTAAATATCTCAGGAAAAAACATTAGGATCATGTGTACTCAAGGCATCCGCAGTCGAGTGTCAATTGATACCTTTGATTGATACCGTCAATCAACAGTTGATCAATACTTGATCAACACCCCATTGACCCAACAGTTGGTCAAGAGTTGACTAATTATTAGCAATCGATCCATACGAGTCAGTTGACACTTGGCCAGCTATCGACCGACTGTTAATCAAGCGTCTATTGAGATGCTGACTGAGTGTTGATCGAGTGTCTACCGCATATCGATTGCGATGTCAATCGAGTATCAATTGAGTATTGATCGACACACAACTGCAGATGCCTTTAGTACACATGATCCAAACATTACAGACATGTAGGTGGTTCAACATCTGTAATTAATGATAATATCTTCAAAGTGATTTAAGTCTTTCTTCTTGACACCTGTCTGCCTGACAATGTATAGGTGTGATATGGAAAGGTTAGATGCTGATCAACAAATGATCCAAAAAAATCAAACCTGAAAGCATCCATGTGGATTGATGGCCTGCTCTTGTACTCTCCCTGTGCATCAACTACAAAGCCTAGAATATAATTCACAAAATGGTTTGATTTAAAAATTCACAACAAGAGCCGCTGTAGTAATTGCGGAGGGTGGGGGAGGGGGGACTCCCATATCAAAGGACAGGGGTGCTTGTTAGACATTTTTAAAAGAAGCCCTAAGAGGTACCAAGATCCTGTTTTGTGGACGTGGCTTAAAGGAGTAGGTCACTCCAAAAACCGTGTATTTTTTTCCATCACCAATAAAAAGTTAACATTGAGTTGTCAATGTGAACTTTTTATTGGTGATGGAAAAAAATACACGGTTTTTGGAGTGACCTACTCCTTTAAGAATGTTTTCAGCTCAAAGAGGTGCCAAGTCTGGAACAATGCATTAACTGACACTTTCATAATTTTTACTAGAGATAAAGACAATTGTAAATGAGACAAAATTAGCTATCAGTTGATTGTCAAATATCCTCCTGTCATATTTTTTTCGGCTTAATACCCTGAAAGGTACCTGACAAGCTCTCACTGAGGATACACACCCTAAGAGGTACCAAAACCGCGTTTTTAACCCCTAAAAGGTATGGCGAGCACCCCCGTCCTTTTTATGTGGAAGTTCCCCCTTACCCCTAGGTCGTAATGTTATGGGTTTGTCAAGGTACAGCAAAACTGAAAATACAAGACCTACAATGACAAATGTGTCCACATTTTTTAAGAAATGACAGCCATTGTACCAAGTAGTCTAAAGCTTAACCACTATTAAAATTATCTACAGACATTTCTTTGGACTTAATCGTAGGGAAAGGGAAGAGGAAATGAGGCAAGACCTCATTCTTGGGTAATTTACACACTCAGTAATGGTCCAGTGGTGAAATAAACCCAATTTCTGTAGATTTGTGGGATCAAGACAGTGTACTAAAGGCATCCACAGTCAAGTGTCGATTGATAACCTTGATCGATACCCTTGATTGACACTCAATCTATACTCCGTCGACACTCCATAGACACCTTGGTTGACAATTGATAGACACTCGATCAACATTTCTGTCAACAGTGGGTTAACAGTTGACTGTAATTTTCGATGGATGCACATGAGTCGGTCAACACTTGGCGGACTATCAACCAACTGATCAAGTGTCAATGGAGTGTCAGTCAAGATGTCAACCAAGATGTCAATCGAGTGTCAATCCATTGCGGGTCGATTGAGGGTATCAACTGACACTCGACCCTGGATGCCTTTTGTACACATGATCGGATTTATGCCCACTAACAGGGATAACTAAGAAGTGGTTGTATTCAAAACTGACCCCATAAATGCATCATTTTATTTTCTTTCTAGATTGCCTCAGTCTCTAAAATTTTTGCTTGTTTTTATAATTTGTTACTTACCAATTTCCTCATACATGCTGATACCATGGTGAGCTGCACGGGCCTCAACAAATGGCCTAAGGAGAAGGCAATACAGTGAATACTGAAAACATGCTAAGAAAGGACGATTGAGAAGCTCAGTCATGCGGCAGTAAAGCTGCAACTGACTGAAACACCAGAGAGAGCGGCAAAATAGATTAGAGAGCTGGTCTGACTGGATTTGTTTTGAGTAGCTTGCAATTCAACTTCTCCACCTTGCTATTTCAATAGTCAACTGGTAAGCCTCCTAATAGTAAGAATTTTTATGTTATGCTGGATACTAAGATACATGAACAAGCCTTTAATTTGCAGTTGGGTTTCTCAGCACTGAAGCAGGGTTGTCCAAAAGAAGCCAACAATCAGTGACTTAGAAAATCGTCATTTTCTTCACAATCTTGGCAGCTACTTTGCCAGGGTAGTTGTCTGATTTTTT